AGGCGCGCCAACGCGCTGCCCCTGCCGCTGGGAACGGGAGAGCCCGGGGGGGGGGCAAAGGCAGCGAGACGGGGGCTGGGAGGGAGAGTAGGTTCTTTCTTTCGTTTTTGCCCTTTTCCCCTGAAATCGTCTGGGGTTTGAGCGATGCTTTTGTAAGGCGACGGGATGTTCCTTGCCAAGCCTGTCGGTGCAATGAATGGAGGGGAGATTTCTTGGAAGTCAGCAAGTCTCGGGGTTGCCTCCAAGTTTTGCAGGCTCCAGAGGTGACATTATTTGTATTCCTGTGGTCCTCACCGGCAGGAAACTTAGAGTGAGGAGCCCAGCTTCTTGTAAGAGTGAGGAAGTGTCCAGTGCTCTGACTGTTCAGCCTTCAGGTTAAAGCAGCAAGGTTTTAAAGGCCAAATTCTCGCTGTACTTTGCACTCCAAAGCATCACTGTCTCTGATGTACTCTGGTGCAACAGCTGAGAGAGGAGAGTTTTGCTTGGGGCTGGCTGGAGGAGCAGGTTAGGGATCCAGGCTCCCTGAGAGGCATTTGTTACAAACATAATTTGGAGCTGGGGTTGTGAATTAGCTGTTGGGCATCTGGGTTTTGATGGTCTCACTAGATCCTTTAACAAGGTATTGCTGAAGAATTGAGATATAAGTACCTAAAAAAAGAAGCCAGAAAGGCAGCTCGTTGTTTGCAGGTCAGGATGGAAGTGTTTTACCACAGTGTTCTGGGATTTGGTGGATCTATTGTCTCTATCATGTTCTTTGATAGAAACTCTCCAAGAAAGTCAGACCCTATGTATCCATTGAGTGGAAGTCTTTGGTGAGGATCCTTTCTTCTAATAAAATGCACCAGCAGTAATAAGTGCTTCTGTAACCAGTTTACTTGGTGTGCATTGGAAACCCACTTGTATCTAGCAACCTTCATTCTCCTCCTGGGTAATTATTTGCTTATATTTGCTTAGGTTTCTCATGCAATTATAGGAATGAGGTAGACATTGTAAAACAAGCTATTAGGCCTATGAGACAAATGAAAACTTAGAAAGTATTTACATCAGTTATCTTCTATCTTTAACACATGTAACGTATCCAAAGTAGATAACTTTCAGAATAAAGCCACTTTGTAAGTGGTTGGTTTGGTTTTTAAGTCCATTGTCATATGTGAATGCCTCAGCTCTTGGCTGCAGCTTCACATCAATAATAAAGTGATCAGAGTACCTTTATGTACTGTAGGCTAAGGATGTCAGCCTGTGTGGCAGTAACATCTCCTCTCCAGCTACTTCCATCACCTTTGATCCTCATTTCAACCCAAATGAAAATGTGGATCACAGTAAATCACACAGTGAAGACCATGGGTTCATAACCAGAAGATGTTTAAGCACAATTGACCAGGGGGTGAGGATTAATGTAACAGAAATCAAGGGGCTATTTTATTATTCTTAGCAAAGTTTTTATTCTCCATCTTCTTTGCTTTCTTCTCTGCCTATTCTGCATCCTGGCTGGTGAATGGACACAGTTAATTTTTTAAGACTTCTCATGAAAAATTTTGTTGTTTTTTTTTTTAAGATCAATTCTTTGGGTGCCCTATTTTAGATAACAGCCAGTAGCATTGCTGCAGAGAGGTGATTTCTGGCCATGCTAAGATTGAATTTGCATATTGTCTTCCTTTGTCTTTCTGAAACTGCAACACTACCCAAGGTGGTGATGCATATAGGATGGAAGTGCAGAAGAAGAGGCTTGTCCCCTTTTTCTGGTCGGCTGCCAGAAAAGCCCCAAACAAACCATCCTGCCTGTGTGCAAGGAGGACGCAGGTGGCAAAGACGCAATGAACAATTTTAAGAATTCTCTTGAACTCGCTTTAAAGTTAATTTGCTCTTCACACAAGAACTATAATTTAAAGCAAGTCAGGGTGCTTGCACGACCATGTAAGTTTCAGGATGTTTGAATGAAGTTCCTGTCTGTCTTCCGCCCCTTTCCGCACACGGAAGCACAGGGAGGTGATACAATCTGCCTGTGCCTGCATCCTGCCCTACCCACCATATGTTGTACTTGCTCTCAAGAGCTGGTTGTCCCTGAGCAGTGCACACTGAAGAGTCTGACCTGGGAGAGATGTAGATGTGAATAGAAGAAAAAATGTGCTTGTTTTAGTAGGTGTTGTGTTTATGACACCAGATTTGGGCAGGAGGAAGAAGAGCTCAGCTGAGTGATGGTTTTATTGGGGAGTGTTGCTGCCCTGCAGAACACTGTCAGGGAGCTGT